ACTTTCCCTCTCTTTTCCCCTATGTCCCTACCCCTTAAGAAGTCCATAAAAATTTTCTACATCCTTCTGGAATTTTTCAACATTTAGATAAATACAAACTTAAGGAAACTGGGTAATATTAACACAGTCCTATTTTTCACTTAATAAATGTGTTTCAGATTTTCAGTTTCATAAGGTGTTTCTTAATGATTTTTTGTTGTTGAAAGGCAGTACAATTAATCAGATTTTCCAAGGTAGTTTTCCAAGTAAATTGCTTATTTGATGAAGGTATGTTTCAAAACCAGCAGAATCTGTGTGACTCTCTAAGGCAAAGTGAAGGCGTTATTCTTTCCAGGTTTTCTTGGACAAAAGATGGTTATCATTATAGAATCAGAACGAATCTGTTGTCTCTATGTAGGCTGATGCTAACAGCATGAGCTTAAAATAAACCACTAAGATGCATATGATATCTCTGCAGGAAGGTCTTAAACCTTTATGGTTCATAGCTGGGATAGGTCACACAGCGTGACATAAACGGAGGAGCAGTCCTGTCTTGATTTCATCGTTGAGGACTTTGGTGTTTAGGTTCGTCAGAGATGCTCAGCCCGACGTTGCCTTGTATTACTTGTAATATTGCTCATGATGTGTATGTTTTACTGCTTCTTTATCCAAGTCCAGTTACAGGTCTTGTCAGTCAACTTTGTATTAAGTTAAACGTTGGGACCGAGGGTGGAGCAGTTAGGTACCTTTGCTGGCCCTGCTGCTTTTAGCCTTCTTGCAGGCTCGCTGCCTTCTGAGCAAGGGGAGGGGCTCTGGCTGGCCTCCGGGTCCAGAAGAGGCAGCAGCAGCGGGTGGTGGAATGGCTTGCGGTCGGTCCCTTTCTGTTGCTGGTCATAGGTGTGGGACCCCAGTAAGCCATTTAGCACGTAAGTAGGTTGCTGATCTAGAAACTGGAGGTGGCAATGGTAGCGCACTGTCAGGATGCATCTTGGTTTCTGTGGAGTAATCCTTTGGTGAAGTGGGCATCGTCCCACGTCCTCAGTGCCCGCTGGTCCATGGTGATGGTGGAAGGGGGAAGACTTAGGCCAGGACTGTAAATGGCCATTAGATGGAAAGGGTGGGGTTGGATGACAGAGAGACTTGTGAAAATGGGAAGGGCCAGTTCTCCGGAATAAGAATCAGGCTTTTGGGGGTAAGCTTGCTTCTGTGCCAGGCTGTGTTGAAATCAGAGGGGACAGGTGTGTAGTAATTCTGAGACACATGGAGAAGTGTGTATAAACCTTTGATGCTTTCAGAAACAATGATGTGGGACAAACTGTTCTAAAAAAAAAAAATAGAAAAGTTTAATTTTCTAAACCTTCTGAGCCTTGACTGTGTTGTGACGGTGGCCCAGAAATTTTTGCATTGTCAGGCAGATTCTTTACCACTGAGCCACCAGAGAAGCCACTACCCAGAAATTTTTATCTGTCACTTACCCAGCCTTGTTCATTGTTTCCCATAATAATGGCTCATTAGAATGAATTTGCTGAAGGAGCAGCAATTTGGTAAATTTATATTGTAAAATTTGTTTATCCCTCCTAAGATCAAGTAAAACCAGTGGCCAAATATACATTAAAAAGTCAAACGGCTACTTGAATATTCATTTTCTGCTAGTCATTATAAGGAATGTAAAAAAAAATCCCCCTTTAATGGATAGAGTGAAGAGTCTATTAACGAAGGACAACTAAGCTTATAAAAATTGGTTAACTGTTGGATGCTTCAGTGTAGATGGTGAGAGAAGAGATTATTAAAATTTGTCCGTCACTCTTGGCCTTCAAAACATTTTTATTTTTTTAATTTTTTGCCACACCATGTGGGTTGTGGGATCTTAGTTCCCTCAACAGGGATTGAACCCAGGCCTTTGGCAATGAGAGCATGGAGTCCGAACCACTGAACTGCCAGGGAATGCCCCCTTAAAATTTTTTTAAAACTACCTCTATTACTGTTATCATTAAAATTCTACACATATTTTATGGCCTCATTGAGATATAATGTCTAAGATATTTGATTTATATACATACACATTGTGAAAGGATTGCTACCATCTAGTTAAACCTCATTCCCTCATATGTTTACCATGAGTGTATGAACAGGTTCATTCTACTCTCATAGCAATTTCACTACAGTGATACCACTATATATCAACTCTAGTCACCATGTCTAATGTTATTCTTCAGCCTTGTGCATCTAAGGGCTGACAGTCTGTGTTCTTCCCAACTTCTTCCTATCCCCCCCCCCACCCCGACTCCCTATTTTCCCTATTATTGGCCTCAAAAGAAAAATTAATTCATTCAGCAAGCATTAAGACTCACTCCACGCTAGATGCTTAGCTATGTCCTCAGTGGAATTGAATTCAGTTCTCTTCCTGGTCTCAGGGGCCGTAGAGACTAGTCTGAGGGGCACATTGAAACAGATGTTGTAACAGAAGGAAGTGTGGATCTGAGTAGGAAGGTGTGGTCCTTTGCCCTCAGTCAGAAGTGCCCAGGAAGTTCAGTTCAGTCCCTCAGGCGTGTCCAACTCTTTGCAACCCCATGGACTGCAGCACACCAGGCTTCCCTGTCCATCACCAATTTCCGGACCTTGTTTAAACTCATGACCGTCAAATCGGTGATGCCATCCAATCGTCTCACCCTCTGTCGTCCCTTCTCCTCCTGCCTTCAGTCTTGCCCAGCATCAGGGTCTTTTCCAATGAGTCAGTTCTTCCCATCACATGGTCAAAGTAATGGAGCTTCAGCGTCAGCATCAGTCCTTCCAGTGAATATTCAGGACTGATTTCCTTTAGGATTGACTGGCTTGATCTCCTTGCAGCCCAAGGGACTCTCAAGAGTCTTCTCCAGCAGTACAAAGACATCAATTCTTCGGTGCTCAGCTTTCTTAATTTCCAATTCTCATATCCATACATGACTACTGGAAAAACCATAGCTTTGACTAGACAGACCTTTGTTGGCAAAGTAATGTTTCTGCTTTTTAATATGCTGTCTAGGTTGGTCATAGCTTTTCTTCCAAGTAGCAAGTGTCTTTTAATTTTATGGCTGCAGTCCCCATCTGCAGTGATTTTGGAGCCCAAGAAAATAAAGTCTGTCCCTGTTTCCATTGTTTCCTCATCTATTTGCCATGAAGTGATGAGACTGGAGGTCATGATCTTCTTTTTTTGAATGTTGAGTTTTAAGCCAACTTTTTCACTCTCTTCTCTCACTTTCATTAAGAGGCTCTTTAGTTCCTCTTCACTTTCTGCCATAAGGGTGGTGTCATCTGCATATCTGAGGTTATTGATATTTCTCCCAGCAATCTTGATTCCAGCTTGTGCTTCATCCAGCCCAGCATTTCGCATGATATACTCTGCATATAAGTTAATTAATAGGCTGACAGTATACAGCCTTGATGTACTCCTTCCCCAATTTGGAACCAGTTCATGTTCCATGTCCGATTCTAACTGTTGCTTCTTGATTTGCATACAGGTTTTTCAGGAGACAGGTAAGATGGTATGATATTCCCATCTCTTTAAGAATTTTCTACAGTTTGTTGTGATCCACACAGTCAAAGGCTATAGCGTAGTCAATGAAGCAGAAGTCGATGTCTTTCTGGAATTCTCTTGCTTTTTCTGTGATCCAATGGATGTTGGCAATTTGATCTCTGGTTCCGCTGCCTTTTCTAAATCCACCTTGAACTTCTGGAAGTTCTCGGTTCAGATACCGTTGAAGCCTAGCTTGGAGAATTTTGAGTATTACTTTGCTAGCATGTGAGATGAGTGCAATTGTGTGGTAGTTTGAAGATTCTTTGGCATTGCCTTTCTTTGGAATTGGAATGAAAACTGACCTTTTCCAGTCCTGTGACCCCTGCTGAGTTTTCCAAATTTGCTGCCATAGTGAGTACATTGATCACTTAGCAAGCAGAGATGAGAAAGCCTTTCTATTCTTTGGAACTCTGCATTCAGATGGACATATCTTTCTTTTTCTACTTTGCCTTTTGCTTCTCTTCTTTTTTCAGCTATTTGTAAGGCCTCCTCAGACAACCATTTTGCCTTTTTGTGTTTCTGTTTTTGGGGTATGGTTTTGATCACAGCTTCCTGTACAGTGTCATGAGCCTCCATCCATAATTCTTCAGGCACTCTATTAGATCTAGTCCCTTGAATCTCTTTGTCACTTCCACTGTATAATCATAAGGGATTTGATTTAGGTCATACCTGAATGATCTAGTGATTTTCCCCACTTTCTTCAATTTAAGTCTGAATTTTGCAATAAGGAGTTCATGATCTGAGCCACAGTCAGTTCCTGGTGTTTTTGCTGGCTGTATAGAACTTCTCTTTCACTGCAAAGAATATAATTCATCTGATTTCAGCATTGACCATCTGGTGATGTCCATATATAGAGTCATCTCTTGTGTTGTTGGAAGATGGTGTTTGCTATGACCAGGAAGGAAAGTCTTCACTAAGAGGTGGTGATTCTCAAACTTAATATAGGGAGAGGTGATTCTGTAGACCCCCAGGTGGGGCAGCAAGGATTTAAAAGAGAATCGTCAACTCACTTTGTAAGTCACTAGGCAAGAGTTTGGGGACTGACGGGAAAGAAGCCCATTGTATTCACAGAAATGGACAGAAGAGAAGAATAGACTAAAAAGTCCTGGAAAAATAAAAAGATGTGTCTGTGGGTGTGTGTGTGGAGAGGCAAACGCATGTGAAGTACTCAGGGAAGAGTTGGTTAGGAATCCACCCTAGAACTGCCTGTTATGTCTTTAAATTTAAATATTAATTAAGGGGATTAAAAATAACGTTGGCCTTCAGATACTGGTGCTAACACAGGGTGGTGCCAAGTTGTGTGAGTCGTGTCCAACTCTTTGTGACTCCATGGACCATAGCCCGCCAGGTTCCTCTGTCCTTGGGATTCCAATCCTGGGATGGGTTGCCATTCCCTTCTCCAGGAGATCTTCCTGACCCAGGGACCAAACCCATTTCTCTCATGTCTCCTGTATTGGCAGGCAGGTTCTTTACCACTAGCGCCACTGCTATAGGTTGCGGATAATGGAGAATCACAGATTATAGGCTGGGTCCTGATCTTAGTTTTCACATTCAGAAGATCAACACAATGGAGCTGGAAAGGGTGGAAGGACAGAACTTTAAGGTCTAAAACAGTTATTTAGGCAACATTTAAGGGAGTAGGGAAGGATTTGTAGCATATAGATTGAGAGGAGGAGACCTTTTTGAGAAGAAATTATGTGCCTTGTGGATTGGAATAGCACACCCTGGTATCAGAGAAAGAACCAGGATGACTGGAGCAGGGCTCACACTGACATATGAGGTCAGCCCAGGGTTGAGGCTGTGAACAGGAGAACTTGAGATGCCAGGCCTCAAATACTTCAGCACTTTCTTCTCTGTTACGGTGAGATTTTTGTAAGTGAATTATTTGGGACAAAGCAGTGAGCATTACTTTTTGGAAAACCTACTTTCCTCCCTTATTACCACATTGGTAATATGTGACTGGATAATTTGCAGCTAAGGTCTTCTTCAGCTCTAGACATTCTTCAGCTGTATGATCCTAGTGGCGTTGAGAGTCAGTGTTAGATGATATGAGAATCTGATGGAGAAAAAAAAAGGTGATTACAATGTTTGGGGGCTGGGGAAAAGGAAATTTTAGTTACGATTAGCATTAGTAGGTAGGAGGTTGTCTAATTGCCTCAGTTGCAATGTTAAAGAAAAAGAAAATGTGAGTGGCATTGAGGTTCAGGAAGACAGAGCTGCAGGTGAGAATTTGGGGTTCATCGAGATAGGGCAATGGTTAAAGTAGATAAATAGACTCTCCTGGAGAGGCGAATATGTAAAAAGTTGGAGCCAAGGCATGGATTTAGGAAATGCCCTAATGTTCAGGTGGAAGCATCAGGATGGTGTGGTTTCAGGGATGCCACAGAACGGGGTGTCCGTACATATCTTATAGAAAAGTGGATGTACTTGCTACAAACAATAGCTAGGAGTTTGAGTGAGAACCATTTAAGTTTGGCAAATAAAGAGTAAAGATGAAAGTGAAAGTCACTCAGTTGTGTCTGACTCTCTGCAACCCCTTGGACTATCCATGGAATTCTCCAGGTCAGAATACTATAGTGGGTAGCCTTTCCTTTCTCCAGGGGATCTTCCCAACCCAGGGATCGAACCCAGGTCTCCCGCATTGCGCACAGAGCTTTACCAGCTGAGCCACAAGGGAAGCCCAAGAATACTGGAGTGGGTAGCCCATCCCTTCTCCAGAGGGTCTACTCGACCCAGGAATTGAACCAGGGTCTCCTGCATTGCAGGCAGATTCTTTACCAACTGAGCTATCAGGGAATCCCAAGGATGAAAAGGGCAGATGAAAAAAGAGTGCTAATAATATAGCACCACCTGCTGTTAAGCATTAGGTATTTTTGAATTGTTTTTCTCAAATGGATTTCTTCCTTCCTATCTTGGTTGTTTTTTAGTTTTCACCAATTTTTTATCTCGTAGCCTAGTGTGTGAACACAATAATTTGCTTACTTTTAAATCAACAGTGTTGGGAGAAGTCATATCAATTTGTTTATCCCTTGACTTCAAGGTTGCCAAAAGTTTCTGTCTCAAATGACTCTGTGTCACAGAAACATGTATGTTAGTTGCTTAGTCATATCTGACTCCTTGCAGCCCCATGGCCTACTGTAGCTCATCAGGCTCCTCTGTCTATGGAATTCTCCAGGCAAGAATACTGGAGTGGGTAGCCATTCCTTTCTTCAGGAGATCTTCCTAACCCAGGGATAGAACCCAGGTCTCCTGAGTCTCCTGCATTGCAGGTAGATTCTTTACTATCTGAGCCACAAGGGAATCCCATGTCTCAGAAGACCTGAGTTAATTCCTTCACAGTTACAGGGTTGCAGGAATCCTTCCTGTGTAAGTCTTAATATTTATTTTATATCTTGACTCACTTGTTCATCCCTGGAGAAGGAAATGGCAACCCACTCCAGTATTCTTGCCTGGAAAATTGCATGGATGGAGGAACCTGGCAGGCTACTATCCACGGGGTCACAAAGAGTTGGACACGACTGAATGGCTTCACTTTCACTTGTTCATGTAGGAGCTCGGGTTTACAAGCTTAGAGCTTTTGGAATGAATAGCCGTGGAAACTTTTTGTTTTTTTTTCAACCCCCAAGGAAAACCTGCATCCTTGAAAACTGCGCAGCCGTCTCGAGTGCATCTGCCCAGATTGCTTCCTAGGCCCAAAGCGTCTGTGAAGAACCCTGCGCTTCGGAGGACAGAAAGCACCTCCTCTGTGGCCAGCATCCACAGTGAGCTGAGTGCTTACAGCAATAACTGTAAGTCAGTCTTGCGTCAGACTTTGGGGCATGTCGAAACTGTAGTTGTGAGCAAAATCTAATGAGCTGCCAATTATCAGGATTTCTGATTCTGTAATTTAGGGGAAAATACGCATCCCGCTTCTCCCTTGGAATTGCTCAAAAAAAGTTTGGCAGGAGAAGAAAGTTGTCTCAACAACATTCTCTTTTGATGAATGTGCTAGGAAACACTGACATACTTATCTTTTGAAGGCTTGTGGGTTTTTTTTTTTTTTTTCATGAATTCTAAAGTGTACCATTTGAAGATGCTGGGTTATTGTTGTTTGGTTTTTGTTTGTTTGTTTGTTTGTTTAAGGAAAGAAAGTGATCTAGGAACTATTGGAACCCAGCTGGAAATCAGAAAAAAAGATAACTTCAGTTTCATTTGCTTTGTAAACAGCTACATTTTATAGAATCATTTGTTTTTTTGTTTTTTTTTTTCCTAATCTTAAACTTTGGATTTTAGATTCAGTGTATTACGAGTGAATATTATAACTTCAAGCTTAGTTTTAAATAATTTAAACTGAGAATATTTGGGAGATTTTCAATTAGTATGAATTTTGTTTTCTGTGTAGAAGCTATTTTCTTAAATGGTAAGTTGAGTTGTCCCTTTCATTCAAAAGATGTGTTTGGTCTTAGTGTTTATTTGCTCATTTCCTTTTTAATTTCTTTCAACAATAGCTCATGGATCAACAAATGTGAAGAATTTTGGAGTGCCTGCTGTGTACAGGCAGCGCTATAGACGCTGAGAAAGATATGAGATATCAAAGAAATGGTCCCTGTGTGAAAGATAGTTGAGGATAAAGAAGATGTTTATATGGATAACTAGAATATCAGATAAAACAAGGAATAAGGGAGTGGTGGCGGGGAGGGGAGTTCTCTCTGCCTTAGAGGGGATCAGTTTCTTCTTTCTGTGAGGAGACAAGGTCAGACAAGGTCAGATTGGAGTCGTTCTTGAACCTTCTGGGTGTGGAGCACCGTGGAGGGTTACCATACATTCTTTCTCTGTTTTTTTTCTCAAGTAACTTCCGTTACCCTGATTTTACATGCAAGGTAATTGCGGCTCAGAGAGGTTGTCGCTGGTCCAAGGGCACTCAGCCAGCATGTGACAGAACTGAGAAAGTTTGTGGCTAAGACTTGGAATTAATGACTGAATGAATAGCACATTTCCAAGAGGGTACTTAGCAGCAGCAGCTGGTGTCCTATGAGAGTAAGTAGCTGCATATGGGAACTTTAGGGACCCTGGAATGTGCTACTTGCAGTGACACGGGGCTGTTATCCACTTGCTACTTGAAGTTTGAAGTCGTGGCAGGAGATCAGAGGGTTTGCATGTATCTGTTGATTCTTGATTTGAAAAGGCCATTGACGCGTGTATTCCCTTAAGGTCACTGCACTTGCAGCATTCTCTGTTTGTAACAGGAAATTTTAAAAACAAAACTGCTAGAACAGAAGCACCCAGGTGCTCTCGGGGGCGGGGGGGTGGAGGGTTGTGTAGTGTTGGCGCTTGTGCCCCTAGCAGGGGGCACGTCCGTGGAGCCACTGCCCAGCGTCCCCGTGGACAGCCACGTTGCCATGGCCCCGCTCAGGACCGCGTCTGACACTCCCAACGAGGGCGTCAAAATGCTTCTGTCCGTTCCTTTTTGTCTTTTAACAAAGGGGCTTCCCGTAGACCCACAGAGCCTGTCTACTGGCTGTGTGTCCCTGTCTCAGATGAAGCGTTCAAATCAATGAGTCTCTTTCTTAGATGGAACCGCTAGCCTGTTCAGCCTGTTTAATCTGTTCTGTGTAGTGCCTCAGAGCTTAGGTTTTTTTTTTTTCCCCCCTGCTCCATTCTAATTTACTAAGAGCAAGCATGAAGAATAGGAGCATGAACATGGCTGCAGTTTTCCTCGCTTGAGCTTGCTGTGATCCTTTTAAATGACTATACCAGGAGGATTTCGCAGCTGTACAGACACGGATGCGTCTTCGAAAATATTTATCAATTCTACACTCACCCCACCGGCCAGCTCAGAGAGGCACTACGATGCTACCTTATTGACACTGCTGGTTCTGGGATCCTACAGCCTTTGTATAGTTCCTTTGTTAGCCACGTTTACTGGCAAAAGAAGTAGGTCGACGATTTCTGGTTTGATTCTTTCTTTGTAAGCATGCTTAAATTTCCTTCAATAAATTGACTTAGTATCTCTCGATTGCTATCTTAATAACTCGTAATTTGTTAATTGTGGTATTTCTCAGGCATGTTTGTATTGAAGTTGTGAATAATTCTGCATGGAACCAATTTTATGGTGTATTTTATGTGTTTGGGAACTCAGGTTAAACATAATTCAGCAATGTTGTCGATATTCTTGGCACATGAAATTATTTTATAAAAGACTAGTTAATGGTCTCATTTGTGATGAAACAACTGGTAGTTTTTGTGTGTGTTTAGCCAATCGTTGTGCAAGTATAGGAAAAATACTTTCCTAGAATTAGAATGAAATCATCACATTTTAATGCTTTTACTCATATTCTATCTAAAAATATTTAAAATGTGTGCTTTTTCAGAATTACCTTCAAACATGAAAAAAATCATTTTGAGCTGCAGTGTTTCTGATTTCTGATAATGATGGGTCATGTTAGGAAATAACCTTTCAATCTATGTTTTAAATTCTTCTGGGGTGAAGCCTTTGGATGCTTTTAAAGAATGTTTTCTTGCTTTGTTTGCTCCTCTCTTTGTGATGTGATGCTGTCAGTGCAGTCGCTTCTGAGGTGGCAAGATGCTCTTAGAAAATTCTGGTTTGCCATGCTTAAGGAAGCTATAGAAATAACACGACCAAGTTCTAAAGCAACTGAATCAAAATGTATAAGATAATAAATCTTTCTTTTGTGGGGGTTCCAGCAGGTGCTTTGTGTGTGTTCTTTTCAGCATAGAAAATTTTTAAAGTTACAGTGTTGATTTTTTTAATATATGTATTAGTACAAAATTTAATCTGGTAGTTTCTGTATCAAATATGCTCATTTTTAGAGGTTAAATGTTGTAAGCTCTTCCAGACTCAGAGAGCTAAGGTCCAGTTTTTAAGATCATTGGATAAAAATACGTTATATAGTGTAGGACTTGTAAAAGGGGAAGGTTTGAGGGACCTTTGTGTGAGTGTAGAAGGAGGTCTCAGGGGAGTCCAGAATTTTGCCATATTAGCAGTCCAAGAGCTTCTTACACCTCCCAGTTTGGCCGGAAAAGCATGATAAGCACATTTATTTTTGAGAGACAGATGGCAAGGGGAAATGAAAGGTTGCACACCCGAGCTGTCTGCACTGCCTGGGAGACGGAATGGGCAGAGGTAAACTAAAAAAAATGGAGCTTTCTCTTCCCTCGCCTTCACAGCCAGCCCCAGTGCACTTGGATGATACAGTAGAAAACAGCATCCAAGGTGGACTCCTGCAAGCTTTCTTACTAACTCATGAGACTAACATAGTCTCACTCTCTTAGCCTCAGTGTTCTCACCTGATGAATGGGCGGGGAGACCCAGATCGTCCTAAATCCTTGCAGCGGCAAAGGCTTCTGCCTACCTTTAGTTTTCTTCATGATGATAAGATGGTACCTAACAGCTTGGAAGGAGGGTGTTTGGAGTAGGGATCAAGATAATGGAGGGAAAGATCAGTCTCATTCGCCTTCAGTCCTGTCCTCATTGCTGAATGGCAAATGGGGTATTGTGTCACCTGCCAATACTGGTCAGTTGGTGAGAATCACCTGGACAGCAGTGAAAGTTTTCCCAGCCACTTCCAGGTTCAGAGCAAACCCAGCGTGGGTTTGACCATTGACGCCTGCCTGAGGTGAGGAAGGGGAAAAGGCAGGTGGTACCTACGTTGGCCCCGTGTTATGGCACATGCCCAGTACTTAAGCACATCTGAATGGACGAATGAATAAGAAAATACTATCATCCAGACTGGTCTTTTCTGGATTATGTCTGAGACCTTCCTGTTAGTTCAGGGTTGGGGACTTTGTGTTTGGAATTTCAGAGCTTGGACGTAAGTTGTGATTTGATTCAAAGCCAGGTGGGCAGAGGATCTGGTGCAGTGGGAAGTGTTAAGCTGATTCATCAAAAGTTCGGAAAACAAGCAGAAGTTTGGCTCTATGTGTATATACATGTTTTTTAAACAAAAACAAAAACTAATGTGGAGCAGGCGCTAGAGCGTGGTGTGAAGTGTTAGTTTGCAAATAACAGTTTGGAACAGTGGAAGCCTTTCTCTAGCAGGGAAATCTTTTTCCTTGTGCTCGGACTTCTCTGAGAATCTCTTCATTTTCTCGGTAGACTCGGTCATCTCTGTCATTTCACTTGAACCACATTTGTGTGGGGAAATGAAGGATTCACGAGCCTCTGTTACTTTGGCATAATCAGGGCAGCTAAGACCAGGGCAGACCACAGCATGGGGCAGTTCTAAAACAGCGTGTATTAGACCTGGCTGAGGCGTGGGCGACCACTTGGGGGACCTCACACATTGAGTCTACAAATCAGCCGTCATGGAGCAGCCATGCCTCCCGGAGCACCATGTTTGGGAGAATTCCCAGTGGGTGTTCGGCCTCAGACGGACCCTGCGCCCGTTAGTGGGGGTCCCGAGACACCGTTTGCACTGTCTGCACACTAGGGGTTCAGACCCTCTCTTGTGTAGACAGGTGACACGATTCAGCACAGCTGGGCAGTGGCCCGGTCAGGACCACAACTCAGATAGTCCCGGCTCCATTCTAGTCCTCGACACTAAGGTGCTTCCGTCATTCTTTTGGAACTTGTGCCGCTGAAGGGTTTATCATTGGGATATAATAATTCTAGACGAGAGGAAATGCAGACATTCTCAGCATACCCAGCTGGCTGCCCAGCTGAAATAGAAGGCGGGAGAAATATTCTCAAGGCATCGTGCCTTGTAATAAACGTCGTCCTTCCAGTTGGGGTTTACTGGAAAGCGACAGGCCAGCTTAGAGGAGAGCCTTAGAGAACTGAGGGATGTGTTAGTGTTGGTCACAAGGTCAGCACGTTAGTAAGAGGGCGTGTGTAGTAGGTGACCAGAGAGAGAGAGTGTGTGTGTTTGTGTGTTTATGTGAGTGGGTGCATATGTGTATGTGTATTTATCTATGTCACATAAAAATGGAAGTGTGTGTTTATGTGTGTGCATGTGTGTGTGTGTTTATATATGTCACATCAAAATGGAAGTGTGTGTTTATGTGTGTGTGCATGTGTGTGTATGTGTGTGTGTGTATATATGTTACATATAAATGGAAGTGCATGTGTGTGTGCGTGTTTGTACCCCAAGTCAAGCTCATTTTTATCCTTGTCATATGGAATGTTGACCCTTGCTTGTTAACACTGATGCGATCGTGTGCCAGCAGGACTGAGCTTCCAGGGCGGCGGTGAGACAGCTGGCCCCCAGTGCCTCCTGTTCTGCGCATGACCAAGACAGGAATATTGTCCCTTGTGAGAAGAGTCTTTTGCTTTTGTGACAAATCCTTTTACCAAGTCCTTTGGAAACCAAAAGTCTTTATGTTCAAAGCTTAGAAATAAAATGTGTGGATTTACTATCATATGAATTTATAATAGGTCTGTAAATTAAATTCAGTTTTTCAAAATCTGAATAGGCAACTTATTTGCTGCTGAATATAGTTTCAAAAAGTGTCAAGAAAAGGCAGACTCGAATCCAGATTGTTGTAATACACGGTTGATACCAATAACATTATTCACTTCCCTTCATAGGTTTTGATTTAGCGTAGGTGGAAACGTTGATTGAAACCCAATATCCATTTTATATGAAATTCTAAAAGACATGCTCTATGACACTTTGGTTCTGTTTCTTTAAGACTATGAAGTCACTCCCCATCGGTTCTTTAAAAAGTTATGTTGAATTTTGTAGTAGTCGTATTTTTAGTGTTTAACATTTACGTTAGCTCCATGTCAGCTTTGGAAAACTCAAATCTCCACGTTCTAGGGGAGAAGGGAGTTGGAAAGCACGACAGGAAATTGACAGACACTTGTCAGCAGGAGGGAAGACTGTAGATTTGGCCTGGTATTAAGCGTTACCTGGGCAAGGAAGAACAGATGGCTCCCTGTAGGGGGGACTTGACGTTGATCAGGGCAGCGTGATGGCAAGCCTTCACCAGGCTCAAGTGTGACATCCTTCAGTACTGTTGTAGGAGCTGGGACAGTTTAGCCTAGGGAAAAATTTCTGTCTTCAAATTTATAAATATTAGTAAATAGGGTTGACATCTCATCCCTTTGCAGAAGTGTGAAGTGAAGAAAGGGATCAAGATTGGTGATAAAGACCTTTGTGATCGTAAGCATTAATAATTAGAATGGAATTGGATGGTTAGAATTGGGTGTTGAAAATTATTTTGAAACAAATGATTAAAAAGTCCAGTCTGGGTTGGCAGAGGGGGATATTAAGCCTGGAAACCAGGTTGGGAATGATCAAACCTCCAGCCCAGTAAGTATATGGTGACATGAACATGCCAATGGTTTGTATGGTTACCAAGGGGAGATAGATAAAATGGTTAACTTTTATGGGAATTGAAAAAAACTATAAAACTTTCTAAGTATTTTTCTTTTGATTTTTCCCCCCTCCTGGGCTGTGGAGAGAAAAGGGCAAAGTGCTGTGTTTACGCTCTTGAGCATTATGTATAACATGGTAACCTCTCAGCAAGAGCCAAGCAGTGCTATTAAAATTCCTTGTAGGAGCCGAGCTCCTGGACAGTGAACTTTTTCAAAGATGATTCAGTTCTGGAGAACTAAAAGGAAAATTTCAGAATGATAAGGACATACTGATGCCCTCCCCCTCTTAATTAGGTCACCGCTGCTGCTCTTCTCTCTGTTTTTATTGCCACTTACTAAAATTGGAAACAGCCTTTTGGATATATGTAATTTTATGTGTTATTTTTGGCTGCATTGGGTCTTCGTCACCGCAGGGGATTTCTCTAGTCAGGGTGAGTGGGGTCCATGTTCAGTTTTGGCCTCGGAGGCGTCTCAGTGCAGTGGCGTCTCTGGCTAGGAGCACAGGCTTCGGGAGTCGTGGCTCCCAGGCTCTGGGGCACAGGCTCAGTAGGGGTGATGCTCGGACTTAGTTACTCTGCAGCGTGTGGGAGCTTCCTGGATCAGAGGTCGAACCTGTGACTCCTGCCTTGGCAGGTGGAATTTTACCACTGAGCCACCCAGGCAAGTCTCTGAAACAGCTTTTTGTGTTACCTTTACATGCCGGTACTATTGTTTCCAAACCTTTCCTTAAAGGTTTTTGACACTTATCGCGATTCTACAATGTAGATAACACTCAGCCAGAAACAGTGCAGTTAAGTGATGGGGGTGCTGGTTGTGTTCCTAAAGTTTCCATAGTCCTCTCAACTGTACCAGAGCCGGGAACACTGTTTCATAGGACCTCATTATGGGCCCAGCACACCTTTACCAAAATGCAGTGTGAAAATGCTTGCTTTCTTTGAATTCAGAGCACAGGAAACAGATCCTGCTCCTTTGTTTCACTTGCCTCTTCCCCTGCTCCTTACAAATCTTAAGGATACAATAGAAGATTTGGGTTATTTTTTTCAATCCAGTGGGAAAGTATAAGTGTGAAGAGAAATATCTCATTGAGGGAGAACCTACATAAACATACAGTCTACACAGTTGTCTTACGTAACTGAGAGATACTCAGGTTTTCACTGTCCAGGGCTCCCGTCATTACTGTGCAAAAGAAGAAATATAAGTAAACAAGGCATCTGTTGAAGGCTTTATCTACAGGTTTCTCCGTGGTTTCAGATTGTCATTCTGGTAGACAATCAATGAGTTACAAATTGTTTATTTTTTTAAAGCTGTGTTCTTTATTTCCTTGTATCACTGTCTTTTGATAATGCCAAGATTGCCTTTAGGGTCCCAGAGAGGACAGAGAAGCAAAATCAGAGACTAGCAAAATAGCAGATATCCTTTCTAGGACCCGTTGACATATTAGCCCTAGAACAGAGTATTTGGTTACCTTCACTCTGACCTCTTCCTGGGAAATAATGTAGGTCTGCTTCTGCGGGAGCCCCCTTTTGCTAGTTAACTGTCATGGACTCAGAATTACAGCACAGTCTAAGCACAGGTGGCTAGTCTCAGATTTGCTCCAAAAGTCCTTTATTCAGTTCCTTTAGTGCCTGGAAATGTCCCCATGCCCCCAACCCCAAGTTAATTCCTGTGTGAGTGAGAGAGGAAAGGTTTGCCTGGACTACAGGAGATGCTTTTATTATTTAGGTGGAATTACATTTTCTGTTTCAACTCTGAGGCTTAGGCACCTTTGTCTAGGGCAGATGTTGGAGTTTTAGCTTCTTGCTGCAGCAGAGAAGGGTCAGAACCTGATCTTACCTTCACAGCTACAGATGAGCTTGTGGATAATACTCATCCCTCGGTACAATGGGGGATTGGTTCCAGAACCCCCGAGGATCCCAAAACATCTCCCAGATTTGAGGGAGGAAAGCTGCCCTGGACCTGAGGCGTGAACCTGGGCCTGATCACACAAATCAGGATGTGTGATCACCCTGGTTACCCCCTTACCCTGTATCCCTGCGGGCAGGAACTACCTATTGTCGTCTTTGTATCCCCAGGCTCCAGTAACGACTGGCAAGTGGTGTGGGTGCTTAGTGAGCACTTGCTAATTCAAGGGGGACAGATAGGTCATGGAAGATTCGTACTGTGGTTGTCAGTAAACTAAAATGCACTTTTCTGTTCTAGCTGGCAATGCCGCTGTCATCAAATATGAGGAAAAACCTCCAAAACCAGCATTTCAAAATGGCTCCTCAGCACCCTTATATCTGAAGCCCTTGGTACCCAGAGGTCACACGCACTTCCTGAAAACTCCTCCAAAAGGTATGGGACCTCCCGCTGAAGAGAAGAGGAAGATGGGGCTTTTCAAATCCTTGGCTCATAGGAGGTTAAAAATGTTGACAGGTTCATGGTATTTTTATTTACAAAAAGTCTGAGAAATAAAGACATAACAGATTTTACACTGAGGGAGCTCTTCTTGTTCTGAGAGTCTGCTGGTTCTGTAGCTAAAACTTGATACACAGAAATCAGCAGATAGAGCAAAGGTATACGGAGATAAGAAATAAACCTTCCAGAGTTAAACTATGTGCAAGTGGCAATCTATAGTAATGGATTAGAAATGCATGGCTTACTTCATACTTTGGGTCCAACCATGTTATCCTGACCCCCACCCCTGACCCCTTTCTTTATCTCTTCTCTAAATTACTTACTTTGTAATTGCTGCAGCTATGAAGGTTAATCTTCAGGTTTACAACATAAGAGGTATATACTTCTGGGGTGTATACCTCTGGAATCTGGATGCCTGATGATCTGAGGTGGAACTGATGTAATAATAATAGAAATAAAGTGACAATAAATGTAACGTACTTGAATCATCCCCAAACTATCCCCTCCCCCCAACAACCCTCCACCCTGCCCCCAGGTCAATGGAAAAATTGTCGTCCTTGAAACCAGTCCCTGGTGCCAGAAATGATGGGGGACCGCTGCTTATATGGAATGTTCTCTTGCAGCTTTATCACAGTGGATCTGGAGCACATTAGCATTTATTGTTCAGTGAACCGAAAGATTGTTTAGCTGGAAGAATACTTGTGAATCCGAAGCCTGAGCTATCATATGTGAGGCATATTTATATTAGAGAGATTAAAAAACACAAAGTTACACAGTTCTCCTTTATCCCATCAACCACGGATAACTGTTTCATTTCCTCCTATTCGTTCCTTTTGCATGGGTCATCATTTTCCTTTTGTTTCAAGAAAACTCAGAGCATAGTATATACGCTCTCTTGTGCCGTGATGCTTTTTATTAATTTAGTAGTATGTCATGAGAGCATCTTCATTTTAAATGACTATGAAATTGTCTCCTGTTTTCTAATTCTGTGGTTCCTGGACACGATTTCTGACTTTCACTATGGCACCTTATACTGGGATGAACATCTTTGAAGGTGAACATTGTTCATTGCTTCAGATTCTAGTTACATCCATGGGGTTTTCCTACAAGAGGAATCACTGAGTTAAACTGTATGAATCTTTGGGAACTTGTTATTATGTCATTAAATAACTTTCCAGAAAGGTGTTAGTCTCTCAAAGCAGTGTGTCTGTTGCTTTGCTTCCTTCTCAATATGTGTGTGTGTGTGTGTGTGAGAGTGAGTGATAGAGAGAGATGTATGTAGTGAAGTTTCCTGTGGTAACTTGAGGATGATTACCTATTAGTATTTACCAACACTTTCCTTTTCTACTGAATTCAAGAGAGAATAGGTACAGATACTGGCAGAAAGATTCTTCCAAGTGCCAGCAGGTCCTCATCTGTCCAAGGTCTTAAATAAACTTCTGAGGCATCAAATGACCCCTTGTTGGGATGACATCAGTTTATGAATCTGTGGTTTTCACTGGTGGATGATAAAGCCCCGTGATCTGCACACACACTAGTACCTGGAAAGAAAGTGTCTGGCTTTGAGACTAAGGTCACTTGCAGAGTTAGAGCAGCTTGATTCCTCGGATACCTTTACAGAACAGAGAACCTCAGTATTCTAAAATGCCCTTTCATTGAATTTATGAGCTTTTGTATCACAGAGGTTTTACTTGAGTGGAAATCAATGCTTTCCATTTACAACAGCCACATATTTTAAGAGATTATCGTCTCTGTAAAATTCCATGGATAGAATGTGGCAACTGTTCTGACTGATACTATGGCACCTTATACTGGGATGAACATCTTTGAAGGTGAACATTGTTCATTGCTTCAGATTCTAGTTACATCCATGGGGTTTTCCTACAAGAGGAATCACTGAGTTAAACTGTATGAATCTTTGGGAACTTGTTATTATGTCATTAAATAACTTTCCAGAAAGGTGTTAGTCTCTCAAAGCAGTGTGTCTGTTGCTTTGCTTCCTTCTCAATATGTGTGTGTGTGTGTGTGTGAGAGTGAGTGATAGAGAGAGATGTATGTAGTGAAGTTTCCTGTGGTAACTTGAGGATGATTACCTATTAGTATTTACCAACACTTTCCTTTTCTACTGAATTCAAGAGAGAATAGGTACAGATACTGGCAGAAAGATTCTTCCAAGTGCCAGCAGGTCCTCATCTGTCCAAGGTCTTAAATAAACTTCTGAGGCATCAAATGACCCCTTGTTGGGATGACATCAGTTTATGAATCTGTGGTTTTCACTGGTGGATGATAAAGCCCCGTGATCTGCACACACACTAGTACCTGGAAAGAAAGTGTCTGGCTTTGAGACTAAGGTCACTTGCAGAGTTAGAGCAGCTTGATTCCTCGGATACCTTTACAGAACAGAGAACCTCAGTATTCTAAAATGCCCTTTCATTGAATTTATGAGCTTTTGTATCACAGAGGTTTTACTTGAGTGGAAATCAATGCTTTCCATTTACAACAGCCACATATTTTAAGAGATTATCGTCTCTGTAAAATTCCATGGATAGAATGTGGCAACTGTTCTGACTGATCTGCTGGTGCTTTGCCCTAGAAACGACTCTATCATGTCAGAAAGACGTGCTCATAATCTCCTCGTGACTGACTTTCTTAGCTCTGTGCCTGTCACCACTCCTGGTTGTATTTGTTTTTCAGCTTTATGGGTGTATAATTGACAATGAAAATTATAATAAATTTGATTTAATGCATATATACATTGTGAAAGAATTCCCCTGCTTACAATTTTATATCATATCTGTTTGAAAGGAAAGCATAAATATATTTTTTCCTTCTTAGCTGAATAGCTATACAACTGGATTTAATACTTGGCAGTTTTAGAAATCACACCCTTTCTTTCATAAAGCCTGGCCCTTTATCTGCTCTGTAAGTGGTGGAATAGCATAAAGTGTGTAAGACACGTGTAAAATCAGTACTGTTAAATTTGAATTTCAGCAGTTCTTGAATTGAAAAAAACTGTGGTTTGTCCTAACATATTTAATTGGTGACAATGAATAATATCACCATTAAACCATTAAACTACCAGTTTGATCTTATTTGGAATGTCTTTTTATGCTTGGGAGGGGGAACTTTATTTGTAAAATGGTTTATTGTGTGATATTTCCTGTAAAATGTGTATCTTACAAATATTTCTCTTATATTTTAGATCCTTCAAGAAAAAGTCTATTTACAGCCTTGAATACAGGTAAGTGACCACTTTAAATAGAGGAAAAGAATCATTTTGTAAAGTTACATTATCAAGTATTTAAGTGTATTCACAGTGATTTTTCACTAGTTGCTTATAAATATACTTTCAATTTTGTGGCATAAACATAACTGCTTGTGATGTTGGCTGTCATAGGGTTGAAACTTGGTGAACATGGTTGCTAAGCCATCTGATGCAGAAGGATGTTTTATTATTCACAGATAATTTGCTTTTTTAAGTAATGATTTTTTTTTCAGATGTGGAGCATATTTATTATCCAGCATGTAGAGATGTGGAGAATATACTTTTTCCAAGAAATATGCTATTATAAAATGGATAGTCTTTAATTGTTAAATAATCTTGTGATCAGGTTTAGTAGTTCAAGCACTTAACATTTTTCTTTTCCTTCTCACACTTCTATTGAACAAACTCACACTTATCTCTAAGACTGTCTCTGAACCTTTGAACATCAACTGGGAATTTAAAAACTTGGTTTCTTGAAGGCAGAGAAGATTTTATAAACTGTACTCACTACAGTTTCTATGTTTTATCTATTGCTGATTAGGTGCCTATCCACTACTTAAATTCTCCTCCTTAATATGTGGTTATAAGACAGTTTTATGACTTCTGAGTCCATTGAGGGTTACAACAGCAAATCACATGGCAGAGGCAGAAGGGTATTACTGTGATACACTGATTACAGATTTTCATGTTTCATGATAGCACTGGGAGCTAAGGCTATAAAGGTGAGCCCCAAATGAGTAAGGGCTTTGTCTTCAGGAAGGTTCCAGGAAAGTTGAAGGATTGCACAAATAAATATACAATCACAATTGCAATAAATTTTAGGAGGGAGCATTGCTGGTTCCTAGTTAAAGGCTATGATGTAGTGAAGAAAGCCTGGATAGGAGGTATAAATTTGTGGACACCCCTCACCCCAACCGCCTGTATACAGGTAGTATATTAAAGAAAATGGGATGGATAACCTTACATATGAAATAACCTGATGCTCCTGAGGCGTGCTAGGTTTCCTTAGCTTAGTCAGGCAGGCAAGTTACAGGCTTACCTGTTATAGGTTCTCACTTACTATAGAGCTAGAGAGGACCCAGCCATGCAGAGCAGTTTAAATTCTAAAGGCTTCCAAGAGCCCGAGTGTGAACATACATGTCTACCAAACTAATTTTTAAAGGCCAAAGGAAACTCTTCTGCACACAATGAGATTTTTATTTTCTTTCACTTTAAATTTCCAGCACATGCTAGTATTTAGGAGATAAAATATTGCAGGTGGATTCTTTACCACCTGAGCCACCAGGGAAGCCCAGCACGCTGCAGAATGACTACATGTTAAATCAGGTAGCTTTTATCTGAAAGCTAGGTGATAATTCTGGGTTTGACCGGGAAACTTCCCGAGTGTCTTCCAAAGTGGCTGCACTGTTTTGCATTTCCATGAGCTTCTCCACGTCTTTGTCCACACTTGCTTTTGTTTGTTTCTGACTCATTTTTATCGGACTGCAGTTACTCACAATGCTGTGTTTTCTGCTATATGGCAAAGTGACTCAGTTACACATATATCCACTGTTTTAGCTTCTGTTTTTTGTTATAGCTAGTGGGTCTAGTCTAGATCTAGTGTTAGTTGCTCAGTTGTATCCGACCATTTGCGACCCCATGGACTGTAGCCCCCCAGGATCCTGCCCATGGGATTCTCCAGATAAGAGTACTGAAGTGGGTTGCCATTTCCTTCTCCAGGGGATCTTCCCGACCCAGGGATTGAACCCGGGTCTCCTGCATTGCAGGCAGATTCTTTACCATCTGAGACACCAGGGAAGCCCTATTCTAGTGGGTGTGAACTGGTATCTCATTGTGGTTTCAATTTGCATCTCTGTGATGGCTACTCAGATGTTGAGCATCTTTCAGAAGCTTATGGGCCATTCATATATCTTCTTTGGGGAAACACTTATTCAAGTCCTTTGCCCACTTAAAATTATTTGTGTTATTATTATTGAGGTGTAGGAGTTCTTTGTATATTCTGAATATTAAGCTCTTATCAGATAGATGATTTGCAAATAATTTTCTCCCATTCTGTAGGTTGTGTCTTCGTTTTCTTTCTTTCTTTCTTTCTTTTTTAATATTTATTTGGCTGTGCCAGGACTTAGCTATGACATGTGGGAACTAGTTTTCTGTCTAGGAATTAAACCTGGACCCCCTGTGTTGGGAGT